AGAACCCCCCTGGTTTGACCTAGGCCAGACCAAGGGTTTGGAAAGGGGGGGGGAAAACCTTACTTGGGGGGTAAACACGCACCACTTCTTTGTTTTCCGGCCCCCCCCCCCCCCCCCCTCCTCCTTCATGGCGATCCTCACCTGTTGCAACATCGCGAGCAGAACCGTCTGTTTGATAACGTCAAGGGTCGGCTTCATCTCCTCGTACTCGGGCGACGCCTCAACCCCCTCCATCCAGGGCGGCACCTTCGCCACCGTCTCGACAGAATCGCCGCCGCCGCTGCTATCCTCGCCGCGGCCGCCCTCCTCACCACCGTCACCGGCGCCACCACCGCCACCGACGGCAACATCGCCAACCGTGCCTCGCCGCTCCCGGCGGGACGACGCCCCACCCCGACCCCTTCCCGGCAACCGCCTTCTCTCGTTACTAACAACCCCTTCTCTTTCGTCCTCATCAGAAGTGGCGGCAATACCGCCGCCGCCGCCGCCGTCGGAAACGGCACCGATGCCGCTCCTAGCCGCGAGACCCCCCGGCCGCTGCCGCACCCGTGATCGCGGAGGTGGCGATTGCGACAAGCTTGTTTTCCCGCCGACAAGTGTCGCGGAAGGCGCAGGCTCCGAGTAACGCCGCCATGAACTGATGCTCGGGAGGGATCTCTTGGAACGCTGCGCTCGTCGCCCTGGCCGGCTATCGCCACCGCCGCCCCCCGCGCCCCCGCTGCCTCCGCCTGAATCCAAAACGCTTCCGCCGACATCCTGTTGAAACCCGCTCCAACTGCTGTTGCTGACACTTAAGCTGCTATCCGCACCGGAGGCGGAGTGGGGCTTCTGCCGCCGGCCACCGCCGCCGCCGCCGCCTCTGTTTGCGCTTCTCACCCCCAGGCTGCCGCCGCTGCTGCTACGGGGCAGGCTAGCCGAGGCTACAGACGGTGCTGGTCCCCCCGCCTCTGCTGCCGCCGCCGCCGCCCCCGCCGCCGCAGCAGCAGTAGCAGCACCCGACGATGCCGACGAATGCGTCGTGAACGTACGCCAGAACTTCCCGGACCTGTTTTCGGACCCTGCCGACGCCGTCGCCGACGTTGGCGCCGCCGTAGCCACCGCCGACGCATGTACGGGCAGCGTCGTCTCGCTGCCCGGGGCGTACGCAAGGGGTACGGTTTGCCAGTAGGGTAAGTATGACAAGCAATGTCATTTGCTTTCTTCTAACTTTCTTCCGTTCAACCATTTTACATTTCCGCGTGGGTCGCTGACAGAGCAGCATTCCCATTTTTCGGGCTCTGACAGGCCGCCATTTCTCCAAAAATTTTGACTTGACTTGGAGGTAGACTGCATTTGATTCTCCGCGCGGCTCTTTCGTTGTCGGGGCATCCTATGATCTTACCCCTCCCGTGCCTTGCGCGCACACACACGGTCGGTCCACAGCCGCACTCTCGACCTGCCACTCTATCGCTCACTTCGTCTTGCGTTCGTTTGGTCGCGTGTATTTCACGCCGTGCATTCCGACAGAGCAGTACACAGCGGTAGTGCTTTTCAACTCATGCATGCGTGGCTTAATTCTGTGCTTTCGTGTGCATTTATTTCTCATTTTTCCCACGCCGTGGTTCACAAGGAGTGCAACGACTTGCTTTTCCACACCCACCTCAACAGGTAGAAGAGGCAGTATTATCCACTATTATTAAGAAAGCACACCGGGTCGACAAGTAGGTCGCGGTCGGTGTATAGGGCCTGGACGTACAAAGTGTATATGTGCGGCCTTTCCAGCAACCAACACGTACGCACTGCGTCGATGCATCTTCTCCTGTCCTGTAGTTTACGAAGGTCTAGCGTCTCTATCTCTCTATTCGATCTTTCTACCTGTCTGTCTGTCTGTCTGTCTCTCTCTCTCTGTCTCTGTCTCTGTCTCTGTCTCTGTCTCTGTCTCTGTCTCTGTCTCTGTCTCTGTCTCTGTCTCTGTCTCTCTCTCTCTCTCACTAGACTACTATGTAGTGCAATATGGACGCCCACACACGCCACTCTCTCGCTCAGCTCACGCGCTGCGTCGATACCCAACAAATGGTGGTGTACTGCCTGGATGCACAAACATACATGTGGTCTTTCCCTCACGGGTGCTGATGCCCCTTTCATCCTTTCTTTCCGTCGCTCTTTTTATTATTCCGCAATTGCATGTAGTCTACATATCCCGTGCTGAAACTCCTGTAACTACTTTGGTCTTTCGGCGTGTTTTTTACCACCGCGTATGCATACAGTATGCATATGCATGTGTGCAATAAGAGATGGTGCTTTCACACGCATCGTGAGGTAACGGGGGCGTCATGCATGTTCTTGTGTGTATAGTGTACATCGTATCGTACCGAATGCTATCGTTCAAGTGACACGAAATAATGCGCATGCATGTGGGTATTTCCAGCAACATGCAGTGGGTGCTCTGCCCCTTTCATCCTTTCCAGTGGCATTTTTTACTCCGCAAGACGATAATCTATAACCAAACAAGTTTTAATTTTGCTTCTTTCCTTGTCTTTCGGCGTACTCCAGTACTCTTACATTGCGTATTGTGGAATAGCGTGTGGTGTGGTGCTTTCACACCCATCGTGAGGTAGACGGTGGACCCATCGTGAGGTAGACGGTGGATGTATGTGGTCGTTCAAGTGACACGAAATTTTTAATGGATGGATGGGTGATGATACGCCTTCGGGAAAAGTATGTATGTGTGGTTTATTTTCTGTCGGCGGCCCATCCAACATCTCCAAATTGATTCCACTTTTTCTGTCCGCTGCAACTTGCTGATGTCTGGTGATACTACACGAATGAGTGAATACGTTTTCTTTGTCCGAGCGTTGTCATATACATTTGTTCGCGAGGTGAACGATACTATATTTGTAGGAGTCGATCGGGGCACAGCAGTGGTACGAGACAGGCGGGGCAACATCGGGCCAGTTGGAAGGCCCTCTGCTGCTCGAGTTCATGCGGCGGCATCACTGGCACAACAGCGGTGCTACATACAACCGAAGCCCGGGCTTCGCGAGCTCTCCGGCACACTAGCCTTGCCCCCCACCCCCAACCCCACACGTGTGGCCACAAGCCGAGCACCCGCCACGGAACGCTTGCCCGGAAAACTCGTCTACATAGTTCCTCACCTTGCCCCGGCATGCCTCCTATGCCCCCTCTCAATCGGCGGCGGACTGAGCGACTTGTTGTGCTTGCCCTGCAGCCGTCGTCCCCGCGCGTCCGTGTCGAGTGCTAGTGACGTGATCACCACGCTCGTGAGGGTGGACGTCTTGAGCGTCTCCCGCATCACCAGGCGAGCCAGCAGCCGGACGAGCTTATCGTTGAGCAGCTTGCCTATATCGCCGGGCAGCCGGCCCTTCCCGTTCGGTGTCAGCAGCTCCTGCGCATGTGTATAAGCGCAAAAAAGGACGCGAGATAAGCGCGAAGACAAGATGCGCAGACGAAAAAAAAAGAAAAAATAATGCAAGATTTGTTGCACACAAGAGCCAAATACTAACACATCACGTTCCTCTGAAAAATCAATCATCCGCGCGCCTGTTCTGTTCGCCACGTCTCCCCCCCCCACCCACCCATCCTACATCTGCAAACCCTCTTCTTACCTTCGGACCGACCCGAACACTCAGGCGGAACTCCGGGCTGAAGGCGGCCCCGACCTGATCACCGAGCAAGTCGTTCCAGACCCCTGAGTCCACGCAGATGCACACGTCCTCCAAGAATATCTCGCCCACCTCGAAGCGCTTACGTCTCTTCGGTCCCCGCTTCTTGCCCCACCGCCAGAGCTTTGGCACGACCTTGATGTCTGACACACGGTCGAATGCCGCACTCACCTGATAGGGGGCATTCGAAAAAAGACGGAGAACAACCGATCAAAACTGGTGGGGGGGGGGGGGCTTGTGCAAGCTTGGTACACTCGGCTGTTTTCGCGAAACAAGCAAAACCACAGCAACAGATACAACGGCGGCAAGTAGTCCCGGGCTTCTTTCTCATAGCGCTCGATCGAACCTTGGACTGTTTTCACTCATTTCGTCATCCAACGCACGTGGAGTACAACCGTTCAGCTGTCGCACCTGGTCCGAGTAGGCATTGAAGCGTCGCATAAACGCCTCCCCGAGCACTTTGAAAACCCCCAGGTTCCCGTGGTTCTCGGAAGACGATAGCGGCGCGGCCTTTTTCCTCTTTTGCACCGAAAGCGACATAGACCGTGCCCGCGCTCCAGGCGCTTGGTGGTGGCTGCTACCGCTCGTGCCCGTTGCCGCCGCCGCCGACGCCGAGTGGCTCGGCCGCGCGCCGGGGGGCGCAGGTCTAGTGCTAGTCGCCGCTGCCGCTGCCCACGGTGTCGTCCCTCTTCGCGCCTCGCATCCGGGGGCGCCGGACGTCGTGACGGACTGCGACCGCAGTGACGCTTCGTCCGCCGACATCATCGACGATGATGAAGATCGCGCCCTCCGCCTGCCAAGCAGGGCAATCGCGTCGCAATTCCCCGCCGCATCGCCGCCGCCGGCCGATGCGAGGAGATCAGCATCGTTCACTGGCCCGTAGCAGGCTCCGTCTCCCTCTTCTTCGCCTTTGTGGTCGTCTTCCTCCTCGTATTCGAGTAGCTCGTCGGTGTCGGTCGTGTCTTCCCCGTCCGTGTCTATGCCGTCGAGATCTTCCAAGCTCCTGCCGTTGCCGTACCCCGGTGCTCCAACCCCAGCAGACCCTTCCGGCCCTGCAGCAGGCCCCCCCCCGAAGCTCATGGCTCGCCGACTGCCGCCGGCCATGTCGGCGCCACCCTCCCCACCCAACCCCCCGCCCGGAGCACCCACGGCGGCTGCATCTCCGACGAGACCGACAACGCCCGACCTGCCCTTCTTCTTGAGGGCCAGGAACGAGAAGTTGAGGATCCCGTTGACTTGCCTTAGGCGGAGGGTTATCCCCTTCACGTGAACGCGGTCGTACCGACGCACGTCGCTCCACGGCACGAGGCTCCAAAGCCGCGCCGTCGCCGCGATCCTCTCGACCCTCATCACCAGCGACTTGTTCACGCGGGCGCGCGCGGCGGCGGCCAGGCCTGCCGCGTAGGACGTGCCATCGTCCCCGCCTATTCGGCCGCTGCCACTTCGAGCGGTCCCGGAGCTCGAACGCTTGTTTGCGCGGGGGGGTTCGGCGCCGGCGTAGAGTCGAACCAGCGCCGGAAAATCGTCCACGGCGATGCCCTGCTCTCCTCCACCATCAAGGTCAACACGGAATCATTTTAGGGGTAGCGAAAGACGTGTGTGCAAGGAGGGGGGGGGGGTTCTTGAGGGTCAGTGGCCGGTTGGAAGTGTTACGAACGAACCCAAAAATCGACATGCAACTCCACCTTCTCCCCGAGTTCCGTTTTGAGAAGCAACGCGGAAAATTTCAACCAGTTGCCATGTGTGCACATGTGGACAGCACGGTGGCTTACCACCAAACGTGTACAGAACCGTGTAGGCTACAGTTACAGAGAACTCTAAATTTCTACAGCAGTCTGAGGTGCCTAATTGTTGAGCGGGGTATTGACTGGTGGTCGACATCGTTTTTACATTTCTACCGAGGCCTTTGGAAGGCCGTCTTACTGCGTACAACCAGCCGGTTCGGACCAAAAATAGTGTAGGGGGTGGGGGTACCGGCGGGCAGTTTCATGGCGCCATCATTGATGAGTAACCGTCGCATGCAACACCGTAAATCAACTGGCCAGACGTACAAAAGCCGCCACGCTTCGTCGCTACCCTTGGTTCATAGGTACAGCAGTATCCTTGTGTTAGCAGCGGTTCATATTTCTTTACCTGCGGAGTCTCCGTAGGTTTTGACCCGCGGGTGGGGTATGCATACATGCATATGCGCCGCTCGCAAGGCGAGGGGAGGTCTACTACGCGCCCCTTGTATCAAGACGTCCTTGGTCTTGTGGTGATGATTCTTGCCTAATTACTGGTACAGCGGTAGTGCAACGCGTTCCTGAAGGTTGCCCGCCTCCCCCAAGGCAACACAGAGAAGCTGCTGCAATGCCGCGCCAAGCACTTCAACCCACCGTACAGCAGTAGTTCAAAATAAAATTCTCGGGCAATTTCCACTATCAATATTTACTTACCCGCTCTCTCAATGTCGTCCTGTTCTACGATTACCAAAGCTCCGGTGGAAGCGGTCGGCACACAGACATACGATCGATGCACTGCGTGTACGTGTTCGTATTCACGTACAGTTCTAGTGCGGCTATTGCGCAAAGCTGCAGAAAACGGTCCTGCTTTAGTCCAGGGCAGTTGCAACTCTTGACGCGCCGCCCGTGTCTCCAAAAAGCGAAGATGCACACGTATGCATGCATCCAACCCACACAGAACACATCGCTACAAAAACCCGCCCGGATTTTCCAAAAAACAAAGCCGCCGCACACGGCGGTTCCGTTTTTGTCCTCCTGCTGCTGCAAACGCTCGAGATGTGAGCAATAGCCACGAAAGCGGCATCCCCCATGTGTGGTGTAGAACCACACGGACAAGTGCCCCCACGCGTGCGAGAGCGCACTACTACTTTCGGCGAGACATGAGGAGAGTGCGCCAGAGAGCCAGCACATGGGGGGAGTGCCCGAATAAGCGGCATTACATTCCATTCGTCTATTAGACGTGCCGCGTGTTCATTCACCGACAACAAGATGGACGCCACACCAAGCCCAGCGTACCTCTGCCACAATCTCCGCCTGCCTCGACATCTTCGTGTACGTCTTGTCCACGGACGTCGGCGATCCCAGGCCCATCGTGAGCCTTATCCCCAGGAAGACGCGCAGGGCCTCGTCCAGCAACCCCGCCGCGTGGGTGAGCCACGCTATCCACACCCCGCGGGTGACCCTCAGCAGGGTCGGCTCCGTCGCCTTGTAGCTCGACGGGTTCCAGCACTGCTCGCCCGCCATGTCCCACCAGAGCGTCCACGGCAGGAGCACGGCCGCGAGAAGCAGGAAGTCGAGCACGGGCCGGAGTATTCTGCGGTTGTGTTCCTCCCGGGCGGCCGCCTCCTCCGGCCCTTCCGACGCCAACCTTTGCAACGGCATGCCATCGTAGTGAACGTATTCAAATTCGGCGTGACCCGCCGCCGACGGCGGCCGGTCGAACTTGCCCATGCACTAACGGGGTCCTTCTTCCTCCCACCGGCGTGTCCCTAGCAGAGAGTAGGGGCAACCCCCCCTCTCTCAGTGCCGCGCTAGAACGAGCAAACAAATGATGTTTGTGAAGAAGCCGTGTGGGCGACTGTCGGGGGGATCGTCCGAATGGGAATTTCAAAGGGGGGGATCGTTATTTATTGCCGATCGACTCCGTAGATGCCCCCATCACATGCGCCACACCACCTTGCTTTGCCTTCCCTTTGCCTTCCCTTTGCCTTCTGCCTTTGCCTGTGTTGCTGTGGCCTGGACTGCGCTTATACCAGACTACGCACTGTACGTGATGGCCTCCTCTCCACTGGGAAACATGTTCGGCCGGGAGATCAACGTCAGCGCTCTGCTCAAGGCGAACGACATCACGCTGGACGTGAGTTGAACCTACGGGTACATTTTTGCTGCACAAGAAATCGGTCTGTTCGTCCGATCTGCTCATTATGTAAATTATGCATAGGAATGTAGGCCAAGTACCGCGTTTCATATGCACACTGTTTTCCATTGGTAGGTCTCTGCGTGACACCGCGGTGGCCGTGAGAACAAATCAATCGTTCTTCCGTGCCTTTGGTACCACGTGCATGGAGTAGGTTGATTGGCCCGTATGCCAGGGGACAGTCGAAGACACTGCTTGCTGTTCGTTGTTTCTCCTGACAAGCTACAACTTCGCTGCGGTTGCGGAGGGATTTCGGTCTTGACGCGTGGCGTAGCGGCTTCCCATCCGGCACGTGTTGGGTTGTGGCCCTGCCCTCCATCGTTGTGGAGAGCTGGTAGCGATACCCATGTTTTGCTTGCAATTGTGGTCTGTGTTTACCATGCTGTCGTGGAACCCACATCAGTATTGATTTTATTTTTTCTAGAAAAGACCTGTTTGTCCGAACATCAGCAGTACTGGAGGAGGGTCTTACAGCAGTATTCTAGACCCTTCAACGCTCAACGTTCAACCACCCGATGAACCAGCAGTCTACTGCTGTGTAGCACGATGCATGTTTGCGGCGAGCACCCTCACACACAACAGCGATGTGCACGTTATCGATACAGCAGTAACTGCGGCAGATGCTATGTCGACAGAACTAAACTCGGTTCAGCAGTAAATGATGACAAACACATCGTACAGGGCTTCGTAGCACGAAGCTGCACGAAGGGTACGGTTTACGAAACGCCCCCCTAGGCAACCATACTGTACGTATGGCCTATTGGCCCATGCTACGTATGTGCTACATCGGCCGCCTGCACTATAGCAGAATTGAGGATGGATGGCAGTGCGGAAGGCGCACTTTTCAGAGTTTCCGGGGGGGGGCTTGAGATATCCTGAATAGTGCGGATCCTAGTGCGGATCGTCGGCACTACTACTGTTGATGCTCAAGTTGTGATTGGCGAGGTAAGGCAACGATATGTCGGACTACACCCATCGACTACATCCATGGTATGTACCAGAAGAGTGGGTGAAGGGATACCAACAGACCATCGGGTAAGATATATTTGTACCTGTGTCCCTCCCTGCCCGGGCGAGCTGTACGTGTCTGATGTGCATGTCGCGGGCAGAGTCCAGCATCAAATGCCGTACACCGCCGAAATACAGATGGCGTTCTGTGTACGCATTAACGATGGCCGCATGACAGGTGTAGAGATGACGCACACACCTAAGTTTATCCACTACAAAAACAGTAGTGCACATTCTTCTACATGTAGGAAGACACTCGGTCCTGTCCTGTGGGAGTATCTTGCTGACCGTTGGGCAGCAGGGCAGCAACGAAGACACCCCTCTCAAGATTCCAACGGCCTACCCCAACGCCCGCTTGTTGAGGCAAGGAGGGCGGCGCATCCCCCGAGAAATCGATTCTCGAGCATTATCTCAGGAACCGTTCCATGATATATTGGACCTGGTCCCCACGACGTTTCAGGCGTGAAAGGGCCCTCTGTCAAAAATTGTTGCGTACATATTGAAGAACTAGCACGGTACATATTGCATACAACAGCTCCCAGCACTCGGTTCGTCCTCACGGCAGCCACGCCATTCCCCGCTGCCACCGCCGAATCCTGCCCCAACACGCAACAGGTGCAACGGCATCTGGCAAACGTCTACGCTGCCCTGGCCGCGACTGTCCTGGCCTGTGCGTTCGGCGCTGCGGCGGATCTATGGCTGCATGTCGGAGGGCTGCTGACCGTGGTCGCAGGTAAGTGGAGGCTTTTCTCGCTCCCTCGTAGAATAAACTTCTGCACGGGGAGTAAGAGCTCTGTCTAACGAGCTCGTCCTACACGTCGCCCGGGCATCAAGTCGTCGTAAAGCGTGGCTTTGATAGAAGGAGAAGGAATG